ATTATATTATATTATATTATATACATACCTATATGTATATTATATTATATACATATATACATACGTACATATATACATACATGCATACATACAGTTGGTTGATATTGGATGTGAAGATTTAAAGGACTCCTATTTGTAGATATAGAAAAGAGAGAAATAAAAATAGTTTTCCATTCTATATATGTGCTATTATATTTTCTCGTATTTTCGAATATTAATTATAATAATTTTTTGTTCTTTTAAAAAAATAATGTAATTAATCGAAATTAGAAGAAAAGCAATTACTGGGTTCCACATTCACAGATATTCATAATCTATTTTTAGCTGAATCTTTTTGAAGTAGTGTATCAACAAATACAAATAAGATAATAATTAGGAGAGCAGATAATAACCCTTGAATTAATCAAATTAATCATGAATGTAAAAAATAAAACTTGATACTATCTGCGCGAATTATAATCAGAACATAGAAAAATATTATATTACTAATATAAACAGTGATCAACATTAGTTTATTTTTTATATTTTCCGAGTTTGCATCAATAACATGGCATAATTAATTAATTAATTAATCAAATTCGCTTATTCATCATTTTTATTTTATGTGCGCATTTATATATGTATATATGAACTTGTTCTATTTTGTTTATAGTATATTTGTAATAAAAATAATTAATATTAAAGAAATAAATTTTGTAAACATTAATCAGTTATGCAGTTTAGTAATTTTTTAAATCATGTGATTTGGACTTATATTTTTTTAATAGATATTAGTAAAATGATTCTTGGTGTTATACCGCTTTCCTTTAACATCTCAATTCGCTTATATATTGTTTCCGGTTTAAAATACAAAATACTGTGGGAACGTATTATCTCGTCACCCGTAAAACCATTTTGTCGTAATATATCGATCACTCCACTTAATTTTATTATATTTATCCGTAAAATAGACGGATATTTTGTAATTATTTTTTCGATAAGTTCCTCATCCACATCTAATTTCTTGATCAAATAATTTTTAATATTTCCATATTCTTGCAATATTTCTTGTCGTCTAGCATTCATTTCTATATATCTGTGTAAAAAAAATAACAATTTAAAAGGTTAATATCTAGATTATTTTTTATACTATATTAAAACTTTATACATATATGATTTTTCCAATTTTTGCATACCGATTAAACATATGTTCACTTTGACTTAGTATAATAATATTTGGTATAAGACCCTCTTTCTTCAAAATCTGAATTCGTTTTCGTATATTTTCTACATTGAAAGAAAGTATTTGTGCATTCCATAATATTTCTTCACTAGTAATTTTATTCGCTTGTAATATATTAATTAACTGATCCAATTTCGCTATATTCATTCGTAAAATATCTGGTACTTTCGTGATTATTGTATTAAGCTTTTCTTCATTGATTTTCAATTTATTTTGCAAATATTCGCTAATGTTTCCATAATGTTGCATTAAGCTGAGTTCCACTTGATTCTTTTGAATGGCTCTATGCACGAGAATCACAGTGTTTTGTATTGTTCTTAAATGTTTTATTTTATATATATATATAAAACAATATTTATTCATACAGATATAAATATATTTTTTTTATTTTATATGGATTAAAAATAATTAAATACGAGAATAAGAGGACAATTTTCGCAGAAATTTAATAAGAATAAAAACAGTATAACTTTGATAAAAAGTTATTCATGCAATTTTATTTGAAACATATAAAATTAAGAATAAAATTATTTTTTATATTCTATCTTATTGCATCTTACCTCGATATAATTTTAAGTGGACATCGTATGGTTTTTATGTTTAACCTTCCTGTATCTTTATATAACTCACATATATGACGTATATGATTTTCACTATATCTAAGCACCCATACATTTTTTAGTATATCTGTATTATTTACATTATATTCTACAAATGCAGAGATTAAAATTAATCTTTTCACAGATATTATGATTTTTTAC